GAAGATCCCATGTGCCGCAACTAAGACCTGACGCAGCCAAAAAAAAAAGCAAGAAATTTCTTTTTCCTTCAAGGATCTTATGATACTTTAACTCAAAAAAGCTCCCCCCCTGCAACCCGTGGGTGGTGTATTCACGTTGTTGTGTATTTTAGCTCTAACTTGGTTTGGTTTGGTTTGGTTTGAATTTCAGTCCATTGCTATTTTATATAGCATTTATTTAGGTGTGCCCATATATTTACCACATCCTTATTATTCCTCCTCCTTTCATCTGGGGTCATTTCTCCTTTAGTTTGAAGTATATCCAGTAGAACTTCAGGTAGTGAGCGTCTAATGGTGAAAAAGGCTCTTAGCTTTTGTGTGAAAAGTGCTTCTTTATTTTGTCCTAGTTTATGAAATACATTTTTGCTGGATATTCTAGCTTGACGGTTAATTTATCTCAGCACCTTTTACTAACTTGCTTACATTATTACTGTTTAGATGTCAGGTACTGAGATGTCTAATTGTAGTCTTTTGAGGGTTTTTTTCCCCTCTCTGGTTGTTTTTTAAATCTTCTTTGGTGTTCTGCATTTTTTGCTGTGGTGCATCTAATTATGTATTTATTTTCATTTTTCCTGATTGAAATTCACTGGGACCTTTGAACACGTGGATGTGGGAGAGGATCTTGTATCAGTTCTGGAAAATTCTCAGTCATTAACTCTTTACATATTGCCTTTTCCCTGTTGTCCCTTTTCCTTCAGGAACTTCAGCTAGACATATGTTAGACTAGTCCATGTCCCTTAATCTGTTATCTTTTCTTTCTCAGTTATGTATAACCTCCTCAGGTCTGTCTTCCAGCTCACCAAATTCTCTCTGTGACTGTATCCAATATCCTGTTAAACCTGTGTATCCACTGAATTTTATATTTTGATTATGTTTTTTCACTTCTAAGACTTTATTATTTAATAATTTTATCAGTATACTTGGTCATTTCTTATAATCTTTTTTTTTTTTTCATTTTCCACCCTTTTTTTTTTTTTTCGCGGTACGCGGGCCTCTCACTGCTGTGGCCTCTCCCATTGCGGAGCACAGGCTCTGGACGCGCAGGCTCAGCGGCCATGGCTCACAGGCCTAGCCGCTCCACAGAATGTGGGATCTTCCCGGACCAGGGCACGAACCTGTGTCCCCTGCATCGGCGGGCGGACTCTCAACCACTGCGCCACCAGGGAAGCCCCCCACCCTTTTTAAATTGTGCAGACATGTTAAATGTACCTCCATTCTATTGTGTGCTAATAATTCCAATATCTGAAGTTTTGGTGTATCTAAATATGGTGTCTGTCTAACTCTGTCTCTGCTGCTTCTTACTCTTGGTACTTGTGATTTTTTTGTCTTGTGAGCTTAACTATCTTGGAACCTTATTTCTGAGAATTCTTTGCTGAAAATGGGCCTTTTCAAGGTTGACTTATAGTTGATTCTGCAGGGTGCTGGAAGACAGTACAAGCTAGGGACCACTTTAAATTGCTGGCTTGAGCAGTTTTGACCAGTCAGGTAAAGTTGGTTTGAAAACTGATGTGAGGGCTGGTTGGTTATATATTATCAGAGGGAAATTCCCCTTGCCATACTCCACACTAAGTTTCGAGACAGGCAGTTTTCCTTACAGTTTCTGAAGTGAGAGTATATCTTGTTCACTGACTGTTTAGCCTTTTATAGTGCTCCAGACTTACTGGTGCGGAAGTCTCTTCTTAGATGCTTTACCTCAGGTGGGCCCTAGGCTTTCTTGTATTTCTTACGTACTGGGAAGCTTTGAGAACTGAAGCTCAAATTTATCTGGTTCACCAAATGCCCTTGAGGGGAAAGCTACCTTCAACGCTCTACTTACTTCTCTGGGTGCCATCTTTCACTTACATCATCGATTTCTGAGTATTTCTTACTAAATGGTCAGTTATTGATGCAATTTTAAAATATTTTTTAAAATATCTTATTAAGCATTTTAGTTTTTTTCAGTGGGAGAGTCTCTCTAGTAACCTAGACCACCTAACTGCGAGAAATTGAAGTCCCCCCACCCCGCTTTCCCACAGAAAAATACACTTCTGTTTGACGTCAGTCTACATGTGATAGCTCTTAACAGACTGTTGTGCCTGTGAGTAAGGGGTAAAAACTATCCGTAAGGCATGTTCTGATTCTAAGCCAGTAATAAAGGCCTGAAGAGTTTTCACACAATTTTAGGTGACACCAGGGAAGAACTTCTAGAATGGCAGTATGAGGATATCTGTGGACTTTTTCCCAGTGAAAGACCCATAACTGGTGAAAATTATTAAAAAAAATCAACCACTTAAAGTCTCTAGAAATTGTCCTAAGCATATACACAAATGGAGAAACATTCTAGAAAATGTTCTGTCAAAGAATAAAGATAATGTTAACTTTGATTCTTTTAAGTTATGTGTGACTTAAAATTTTTATGGTAATGCATAAAAGAATAGAAATATTAAATATTACCTCCAAAAAAAATATTACCTCCAAATATTAAATATTACCTCCAGTAGTAGAGGGGGAAAATGGAATGTGGAAAAAACCAACAAGTAATCCTAAAGGTAGGCAAGAAAGAAGAGAAAAAATGTAATATAGGCAGGACGTATACCCCAAAATTTAAATAGTTCTGCTGAAAGACTGTCAAATTATTAGTCTGTTTTTGAAAACCTGTTTATATATTGATTATAAGAGATAGAGCTAAAATATAAACAGACAAAAATTAAAAGATGGCAGAAGATATACCATGCAAATAACAAAAGAAGGGCTGGTGCTGCTTTTTTTTTTAACATCATATAAAACAGACGTCAAGGTAAAACTAGAAATGAAGAGATCACCACAAAAAGTTTATTTCAACAGAAGATACAATGATCTACAAACATCTGTGGAAGTTGTAAAGTAGCTTCAAGAGGTAGTCCCCCAAATTTACATATCTGCGTGGAGTAACTGGCATCACCATAGTGGAGGATTTTCACGTGCTTCCCTCAGTAGCCGACAGATCAAGCACACAAAGAAATGGGGCTTAAATGTAAATGCTCCTGATTTTTTAAATTTATTAAGAAGAAATTATGAGTAATTTTATACCAATATAAATTCAAAAACTTCAGTGAAACATACAAATTCCTAGAAAGCTATAACCTTAAAACCTGATTCAAGAGGAAAGAGGAAAGTGGTTTGGGGTTTTAAAAGAAAATGTCCTCAATTTTTAGAGTTACATACTGAAGTATGTAGGGATAAGATGGAGGTAGGAAGTAGGGTGGTTCTCCAATATTCTAGAATCTGGATATGAGTTTGAAGGAATTTGTCAATATCGTCTCCTTTTGTGTGTACTTGAAAAGTTTCATAACACAAAAGGACTATAGAAACATTGACTTGATTATGTATAATTTTATTTTAAAAAGAGAAAGAAAATATGTACACATTATGAGTCAGAAGCTAATGCCATACATGGGCAGAAATGTGACAAGGTGGGGAATTCATTTTTCAGGCGTTTGATCTATAGGCTCACCCAGAAGGAATCCCAAGCAAGGTGCCTTGCAAGCAATACTGTGTGGTTTCTGAAAGCACAGCA